ATCAAAATCTTGGTTACAATTTCGAAGAAAAATATGGAAAAAGAGTGAATAATATAATAAATCTTTACATATGTAGACTGAAAGACAGTCTAAATATTATCAATTCAAAGAATGTAACAAATGAAAAACATTACATAAACATGGAAAACTTAATGTTCATTAATTTTATATTTAGAACTCTTGCGAAAGGCTATTACAAATATATTAAAAACAAATTAATTATAATTAATGACATAATGTATAGAACTAATAACAAAAATTCATAATTCTTTGTTAAGAGTTTTGAATGCAAGATAAGTTAAATAAAATAAAATAAAATAAACTATTATTTGATATCATTCAGTTAAACCGATTTTATTTTAACAGATTTCATAATTTTCGGCTAATTCTGATAATGAATGGTTTCGTAATGAAATAGTTTCAAAAAGTATATAAAGTATTTGAATTCTATTTAGTGGTCATTATAAATCTGAAAAAAATTTGTTAACTATAAAACATTATTGATTTTCATCTCAAGACAATGCAGTATTTAACAATATCTTCTAACATTAAGTTACAAGTAAGCATAGTTGAAGTATAAAGATATAGCCTTCAATCATATAACAATAAAAAATCAGTACTGTAGTCTTCATCCAAAAAAATAGTAGACTATACTGACTTTCCTATAGAAGTTCTCGTAATAAAATATACAGTAAAATCCGTCCAAAACGAAAACCTCCCTAAACAGGAAATAATTCCTCAAAATAGAGCCATTTTCTGTTTTAAAAAAACCTGTTCAAAACGGAAACTAAAACGGAAAAAATATTCTGTACCGCGCGATTCCGGTTTACACAGGTTATACTGTATATATTATTCATTCAATTTTGTTCTTCATCTATCTTCTTTAAACATTTTTTTAAACATTTTATCATTTCATTTTGTATCATAGCAGTAATGTTACAGGAATGACATTCGAATAAAAATAAACGTCAGAATCATCCAATTTCGTTCTTTATTTGAATATAATAATTGCCATCAGTAACACTAGATGTATAGACGAAATAATAAAAAATAAATATAAAGGGTTAAAACAAATCAATTTTATATTCAGAATCATTCATTTAAGTAACAAAATATAATTTTTGTGTGTTTTTTACACAAGTCATCTGTATTTTGATGCACACGCATTCATACAGTAAAATTTTAAATGTTTGTTACTTATATTATAATCATAACATCTTTCATTTATAAATTGTATTTTACTTTATTTTAATTATATTAGGTAAAAAACGAAAAGGATTTTTTATATTATTTACAATGAAAAATATTCTTTCCATAACTGCAATTGTATAAGGCGAAACAATAAAAGTGACTAAAATAGAAAACGCCTATTTATAGCCTTTTAAAATCTTTATTACAATTTTTCAATGAAATTAATTTTACTAAAACTTAAGGAACATTTCTTTATTGACATTTTAAATGAAATATTAAACCTACATTATTTATGAAACCTTACAAAAGTCCATATTGTCTTTTACATCATAAAATATGCCAATATTTAAAGTAATTTTCTTTATGTACTTAACCTTTTATTACTTCTATAACCACGCGTTATTCATTCCAAAAATCTCGTGGAAAGAATATACGAAAAATATCTGTTACAATTATTTTTTCACAGATTTGTTTTGTGATATTATCTATTCTAATTCAGCAGCAATTCAAGCTGTTAAAGTTGAAGTTGATAAAATTTTTACAAATTTATTTATATCTAAAAATGTTCATAAGAGATTTTTGCACAAATCTCATTTCTACTGAATTTATTCTAATTTCCTTATTTCTATATAGAAAAATATCCCAAAAAATTATGAACATTTAATTTTGTATTTGTTTTCGGTGAGATAAATTGTAAAAAAAGTTTTTATAATATTTGTAACTAATATAAATTGCTATTTTATTTCATATATCACGATCCGAAATATATTCAAAAATATGCGTAAACAATTGAAAATGAAGACTTCAACGCAATTACTTGTAATTTCCCCATTATTTCTTTTATGTTGTTTTCGAAGGTTACAATTATTTAAATGTTTATTTATTTATTTATTTTATACGCAAGTAAAGTTCATAAAAAACTAACAATTACTTTCCTTCAATGTAACGAAGTAAATAAAAAATCCAGCAACGAGTTGCGTTTTCCCTCTGTTTTGAGATTTTATTTTAAAAAATAACTTTTATATTATTAATTGTAATAAATAAAATTGTGTGCTGCCAACACAGATACACATCCATGGAATTTTCCTCGTATATTTATTTATTTATTTATTCAACTCTCTCAAAACTGGAGATTTGGAAAAACTCGAAGAGTCAAATTTGACACGATTCCAATATTTTTCCTCGTTATTATGTATACATAATAGTCGGGAAAGTAAAAGGCCCAATAAAAATACACATAGAAATATAACAATAATATAAATTAATGATAATATAAATTGTCAATACAAAACACAATATAAACGTTATAATAATGTAAACAAAAAACAAAGTCTAATAGCAAGATAAAAAAACGTTTATTTTTTCTTAATGAGATTCGATCTATTTTTTATTCTCATAAATCTACGTGATTAAAAAATATCATTAGATACAGTTCAGTGAAATAAAACCTATATATTTGCTAAAAATTTAATATAAATAACAAAGTTTTAAATTAACAATTTACAATTGTCAATTATACATTTAACATTGATAGAAGAACGTATATTATGATATATACTACATATTTATATTGCTGAAGTGTATGTGTTATCCTTGAATTTCCGAAATAATTAGTACAAAAATAGGTCTATATTTGGTGAAATTCTGTTTATATTTGTGATAAATCCAAAAAAAGTTTTTTGAGATTTTTTGCAATTCTGAAAGAAAATGGCGAATTGTAATTGCATATGAAAACTGAAATATTTCATTCATAATTTGGAAATAAAAATAAAGAAATAAAAATTAAAACAAATCGATGATTCGAAGAAACGATATGATTTATATAATAATATGAAAATTTAGGTAATAAACTAAATGTAAATCTTTGAGTGTAAAGAATTAATCTCTTCAACAATATAAATTTCTGCTAAATAAATCTAAAAGCGAAATTATATCCAATAAATCGCAATTTTTTTCACTTTCCAGTTTACTCAAAATTTATTTAATTGAATTTCTATGAATACTACTTTGCAACTGTTTTAAAATTATGTAGCATTTCATGACACTAGTTAAAAATACTTTTTCAATAGATATAAAAAGCAAATTCTAATAAACAAAAATGTAAGTTAATAATAATAATAATAATAAATAAGTGAAGAATATTAATTAGAATTAGGAAAGAAGAATAGAAAAAATATACTTGTGGCCAAAATTAAAGCAACCAACAAATTCTGTGTAAAATCAGCACCAGGAAACATGAGTACTGTACATGAAAATTACATCATACATAAGTCATGCAAATGAGGCACTTTAGAAGCACACCCATGCGATAAAATATAATATGCTATATATACAGTTTGCTAAAACCACTAACAGAGAGGAAGTGTTCCTGATACAACATTAGTTTATCAGACATGCCTCAGAGAAAGCATTTGAATGTTTCATTGCGACAGAGAGACGTTTATTTCTACGTTTTCGGCATATACAGTACTGTACATTTGTGTGTGTTACTTTAATTTTGAATACAAGTGTATGCTGATTTGTGTTTAAATAAATGAATTCCAAAATAAAATAATCCGTCAATGATCCTGAGAAAGAAAACTTGAAAGGAAAAAATGGAATTCTTTTTCTTTGTTATAGAATTCTGTATTCTACAGGGATTATGAAACCCCTGGAAAGATTATGCTGATCTTTGTTATTCTTTTCAAGGTAAAAGCATGGTATTGAGTACGGAGAAATAAATTTAAGTTATTTTGATGGTGGAACAATCAGAGTGAAGTTGCTGATGAGTTTAGCAGGCTGCATCTAAACCGATGTGTATGATAGGTGGAGCGTTTGTATATAGCTTGTTATGCTCTGGCAACTTCACGCTGATTGCAGGTTCTATCAACAAAATGACTTAAATCCATTTCTCCAAACTTAGCGCCATACTTTTACATTTAAAAGAAAAGTCAGCATAGTTTCTATGGTTTCATACTATACTATTTGTCCAAAACAAAATCAAACTTAGAAGCTTCGTATTAAGATTAAAGTTTTCCAGAAAATTAAATATATCTATCATTTTGTACATCATCATCCAAAGGAATAACAATAATTGTGCAACGAGTTATCAAACAAAATTATTATATATTCCTTCTATAAATATTTTTTTAAATCTTATCCTTATCTCAGCAGTGCCCGTGAGAGATAAATATATGATTAGTTATATCGAAATCTTAAAGATAAATAACAGATAAAACAACTGAAGAAAGAAAATTATCAACAAACAAATAAACTACAAAAAAATTTGTATTATAAGAAAGTAAACAAAGGAAATACAATCTTTTTGTTTTTAAAAACAATTTTTTGGGATAATAAATCCATTTTATAAGAAATTTATCTTTGGATCCTCACTAGCTTATTTAATAGACTTGCATGTACAGCGCTTTAATAAATTGTTCTAATAATTGAAAATAATTTTAAGTATTATATCGTACTGTATATATGATATACAATATAATTAAATACAATAATTAATTTTGCTTTAGAAGAATAAATTAAACAGTTTATAATAGTCATTAAACAGAAAAAAATGTAACAATTTAAACAATTTATAAAAATACTTTTCTATTTTAATCAATCTCTGATAATAAATTTTTAATAATAATTTTAGATTAAAAAAAATCATTTATAAAAATTTACTAACTACAAATCTTTGTCGATTTTTCTAAATTATCTGAGATGAACTTAATTTGAAATTATGAAAATTATAAGTTGTATATAGAATAAATTGATAATAAAATGTTAAGTGTGTTAGTAACATATTTTGTGCTTATCGGAATCTAAAGTGGTCAAGATCATTGCAAGTAGCAACCAATCAGAAAGTGTTTTACAAATGAATTCGGCAAGAAAAAAAATGAAAGTCAGCATCATAAGTATATTCATGAGAGTAGTTTTTTAAGAGAATTTTAGTTAAGTAAAAGGATCATTCGGAGCAATGAACATGGAGTCAAATTAAATTTTAAAGTAATTAAGCGAAGCCTTATAATTTCAGTAAGTTAAATTAGTTTTTAAGATATTTTATAAATTAATAAGTGTTTAAAATAACCTTTTAAAATTTTTATAAATTTTTGTGATAATTTATTAGAATAAACAACTTTTTAAGTAACTAGTTGACCGTTTTATGCTGTTTCATGATTTTCTATATAGGTTAAATAAAATGTGCTATAAGTTACATTAATTAGAAGAAAAAGTAGTTTTATATAATTATAAAGAAACTTAAATACGTAATATTTTTGTAAGAATAAAAATTCGTTGAAAAATTATTATGTTTAAAGGAAATGATTCGACATTACTCAACGAATCGATACCTTAATCGTCTGTTAAATGTGAACAAGGTCGTCGTCTTGCCCCATTTTCTGGATGGGGCTGCACAGAGTTAAGTAGATCAAAACCGAAGAAAGTTGAAGGTTGCACCAATAATGACACGAATGGACAGCGAAAACGATTTTCCCAAGGCCGATGACGTAAACAAACGTTTTCTCAAGATACATGTCTCGGTATATAAACAACTTGGTTAATATCGAAATGCTACAGAATAGTCATGAGTCTTTGGGTAAGTTGAATTTATAGTTAAAAAATATTCCACGTATTTTATTAAATATTCTAAATTTGGGCAATGAAATTATTTCAGCCTTATTTCTTGCTGTTGCTATACGTGACAGTGGGATGTAGAAGTTTGCATTCTAGTCATCACGGGCATGGATATGGAGAACATAAACATGGAGGTTCCTCATATGATTCCGAAGATGGAGAAACTCATGGAGATTACGAGTCTGATGGTGAAAAAAGTCACGGTGTATATGGACTAGAAAAAGTTGGAGGACACAAAGCAAAGGGATCTCACGGAGGATTAAATGCATTTTTTTCTGATTTTCACAACAGAGGATTAATAGCTAGAGATAGAGGATTCGGATACGAAAAGGCTTACGCGTACGACAAACAAGTGGCTCTTAAAGACATCGGAGCCAAGAAATCCAGTTATAAAGGATTACAGAGAGCAAGGGAGCATCACGGGCATAAGAAATATTCTGATCATGGAGATTACGGACATAAATCTCACGACAGTGGTGGTCGACACGGTGCATCCGGGTATTCTAAAGAAGGCTCGATCGAAGGTTCTCACGGAACTTACGACGATACTCACATTAATTTCGGACACAGTGATCTTATGCCCACTTATGGATATTCATACAACCAGTTTCGCCAACCAGGATACAGTTACTCTTACTAAATGAACGGTTACATGTGAGGAACCAATGTCAGATTTGATTAGAAATTGGATCTCTGTACTTTGTTCGGTATGCGGAATTGTTTGATTTTGATAAATTACAAAATTAAACAATTTTTTTCGTTCTGTGGTATTGTTCCTGTTAATTCTTTCTTAAATTATTAATAAAATTACTACGTTTCTTTTATATATATATTTATAAGTGAATTCTGTAAAATCTTTACGAGAACTAATGAAGTGATTAAAACTTAATTTTTTAAATATTCTCTAGTTGATTACATTCATACATGACATAAATAAATTGTATAGACTGAATTATTAAGTGTTAAGTATTCACTTCAGAACAACTTTAAGATATAAAATTGTTAGTTTTATTTTTCACAACTTCATTGCTCTTAAGTGCTTTATTTAGTAAATAAAAAGATGTTATTTTTCCCCGGTTTTTAATAGATTATATACCTTTGTAATAAGAATAATTCTTTAAATGTAGAATTTAAACACATAACATAAAAAAGTTATATTTTTTGAGAATGTTTCATACGTCCTCAATTATTCCAAAAATACATATCGTGCCTCGAATGGCCCATTTCATAAAAGAAGAATGGGTCATTCTGATAAATTATGACGTCATCGGACAAATTCTCATTTCCTGTTGCCTCGTGTTCAAACTAAAACTAAAGAAAAAAACATTGAAATAAAGAATTTTTTCACCATACTTAGTTACGATAATGTCATACTTTTAAAGGTACTTAATACTTTTAAGAATATAAAAATTAGCTAATAAATTTTTATATTATAAACTTTTATTGTATAACCTTTATTTATTTGTTCATTATTTTATACGAGCTTAAAGTTATTTTTAAAAATTACATAATTATCGATTTAAGTCATATTAAAATATTTATAAATTCCGAAAAAAAATGAGAGCCATCAAATAGAAATCGTGTTCAAAGTTATGAATTAATATTAGATTAAATAATGTTTAAGTAATAATTATAAACAGTCATTTAAATTCATGTAAAGTTTCAAAATTTTCATAATTTAATCATAATTATTATGCATTATATCTATTGCCTACTATTAGTTTTTTCCTGTGTTTGAAAGTATTTTAACTAAAATTTGCCAATTATATGTAGTGTTTATTTGAAATTCTAAATCATTCTATTTAGAATAAGAAAATTATGATTAGATAATTGATGAAAATTACATGATAAAAGAGGATAAAGAGAATATATGATGCTAGATAAGTAGTTGAAGGAAATCATGCTATAGACTCGAACGGAGATAGAAATAATTAAGCTAAATTAAATACAATTTACATTCTTTGATTTGTAATATATAGTTGTTCATGAAGTGATTATTGGAACATTCTTAATTAATTAATTAAACACAGTTAAAATGGCTGAGAGTAAAATTAATAAATACAGAATATCGTCAAACATATGACTAAAAAAATATTTCTGTGAAAAAATTCTTCAAAATATTTATAAATCGTAGATTTTATATTTATTAACTTTTTCATTATTGTCCTATGTGCCCTTTTTTCTATGCCATTATAGTTCGTCCAGACCCGTAATAGGGGCGGCCGGATAGTGAGGGCCGACATGAAAAATTCCTTAAGTTTTTACCATGTCTCCTCTACTGCTATAAGTTCACATCCTATTCCGTCTGTTCATTAATTTTTATACCAGCAATTCGAATTATCGTCATTAATAATGAGATTCTATAAAACTCTTCTGAATCACGAGATATAAATAATCATCATTCAAAAATATCCACGAAATCAGGCATTTTTAATCTTTTTTTCCTTGTCGATTCCTTTCCAAAATTATGTTTAATTCATCGACTCATTTCTATGCTGATATAAAGTAAGAATAAATTATAAACAGGATGAAACAAAAAATCAAATAGGAATTAATTAATATTTTTTAAACTTAAATATCAATCAAAAATTAAAAAAAAAAACTGTTACTTTATAAAGATTTAGGATATATTAATTTTTTATTTTATATTGTTTGTTCATTTTGACCGACGACCTCCAAATTGACACTGGTAATTAATCGACCCCCAGATAAATCAGTCGGATTTCGAGGACCATTAGCGACTAGATGGTAAGGTCTAAACAAACCAATATCTAAATCGTCCTCACGCAATTAGATATATTTAATCGAATACGTCTAATTGCGTGAGGTCAATCATTGTATACTTGTCTAATTTATAAGGCATTTGATTCCATAGATAATTTATGCATTTATTTATTTTTAAGCCAATTGATCAACTTAATGATTAAAACAAACAAAAAAATGAAGGCTTATCGCTTTAATTAATGTAATTCAGTCGAAAATTTATTACGTTAATAAATTAATATTTATTCTTAAGAGAAAAAATTATGATAATCAAAGGATTTGAAGAAACGATCCTATTAATTTAATTATTTTCATTTTTCTTCTACTTCTATTCTATTATGTTATATAATAAACTATTATATAATTTAAAATTCTTTTATGGACATAAATCTGGATAATTATATTAATTAACATAATGATAAAAACAGTTTTAATAATTACGTTCGTCTTACATAGTGTTAAGATGAAAAAATCTATTGATTTGCAATCTATTAAAAAAAATAATTAACTGTTTATTAATTAATTAAATAATTAACTAAAATTAAATACAAATAATTTTATACCGCATTTAATAATTACACTTCTAAATCATACATTTCATCAAACTTTAGGTTCTTATGAAATGTCAATTGTAAAATTCAGTGAGTAGAAGATAGTAAAGGTCAACGGGTCGCATTCCATTGAATGTTCTTTTCGATCCTAAACAGAATAAGTCATTGTAAATGTTATTCTTATATCAGTTAATTTAATTGATTGCTTCAAATTATTAAATGTTAACGGTAATATTTTATCGAATCATTTTCCTATTGAATTAAACGAAATAATATCACATTTATCCACGATAGAAATTCATTTTTAATAAACAGCACTTTCGTTTATGATATGAAAAGCTTCAGTTAATGTACAGTACAAAACAGAAAACGAAATCGAACAATTTAAAAGTTAAAAATTCAGCAACGAATTGAATAACGTTCACGCCTGTTAAAAAGCAATTTTTACAATATATTTTTAATTATAATAAATAAAATTTTGTGCTCATCCGTTATGAGATTTTGTTTAAAAATTTTTTAATATTTTTAATTATTATAAAATGGCAAAGAGCTTGAGCTTAATTTTGAGGGTAGTGATGAATTTCATAAAAGAGAGTGTAAATGCAAATAATGAGTAAAATCTTCATTACGTCCGACCCTCTAGAGATAAGGCACGTGACACTCTTTTACTCATCTCTTCCTTGACTTTAACCATCAAAGTTTAATAGCATAAATGCTTCTTACACATAAGCTACTGTGCCAAATTTCGTTTCTTCTTCATTACCTACCTTGAGATATTGAATAATAAACGAAAACGAAATAAATGGCAACATTTATACACACATCCATGGAATATTTTTCCACTTTTTTTTGAATTTTTTGGATTCAGGAGTAGAAAAATGTGTTAAAGTGGAAGATTTTCAAAAAATCCGGAGGATCAAATTTGACAGAATTCTAATATTTTCCCTTGTTATGTATACATAACGGCTGGAAAAGTAAAAATTAAACAAAACATTTGTAAAAGTAACTTTGTTTCTTGGTTTTTTTTAGTTAAAAAAATTAACAACCTCAATTTTGGAGCATGTGTGTATAAGTAAGTGTAAATATAAGCAATATGTAACAACATAATTTTCTATATAAATAAATGAGGATGTTTGTTTGTTTGTTGCTATGCACGCCTACGCCGTTCCACCAATTGCTACGAAACTCGGAAGTTACGTTAGCATACTTCTAACTTAGATGATTTCATCCATTCCATCCCAAAATATCGATTGGATTTCTATGTATCAATTAATTTTTTCCTGCATGCGATTTGCTTGGTTCACACGTACTGCCATCTATTGGCAGAAAATTTAAGAAAATAATGAACTAAATATAGTTCTTAAAAAATATGTAATTTTAAAAAATATATATTATATTTACTTAATTACTGGACAAGTAACAGATAGAACTTGCCTACTTGGAATGGAAAGTGTTACCCTGTAAAAAGTCTATAAGTAGTCTATTTAATTTTTCACATCGAAACACTCTTTTTTAACTCTAATAACTGCTTTTCAGTAGCCGAGTGGATAAAACCACCGAACACCTGGTAGTCAGTCGTGGTTTAGAGCATCGCTAATGAGCCGGCACGTGTTTTTCCGGTGTTCTTCACGTTAGTAACACGCAAATATAGCTAGCTTTACATAAAAGTCTTCGTGGGATGCACTCTCCTCGGCAGATCGCTCGCGTGTCACGTTGTGGTAATCAAATAAACCAAACTAATTCTAATAATTTTTCTATAATCGCAATATTTACGAGGACATACTTCCCACGTAGTTTATACAATCTGTTACAAAAATCTAAACTCTTTACTAGGACATCGCTCGATTTTTGTCGTATCGGGATAAAATTGAGGCGGAGCCAGAAAAAAAGGGGCGATCGTTACTTGCCGGTCATACCGACACGGAAAGGCGATCCAAGAACAAAGCAATCGATTGCGATTGCTTTGTTATGCGTGACTATATGGATTTCATTTTAATGTTTCTTATATTATAGCATTTGATTTATATAACAACAAAGGTTATCTTAGGTAAAGGTTACAAACAAGGCAATCGCCATCGATTGCTTTGTTCGTTTTTCGCGCCTATTTTCCGTTAGGCGTACGCAATGCTGTTTTTATTTTTGACCCCTAGTTCTAATTTCCTTTAGGCGCGCTCAGTCGCATCAGAGAGCACGGATATTGTCACTATAATATCTCTGTTTATCGAAAACGAAGTCAGGAACTCCTTTTTTACATTTAAATGGAGCCTAATTACATTTTTATATTCCTTATCGCAATGAATAGAAAATGACAGAGTTTTATCAAAATTGCCCATTAAATGTTGAGAACGAACTCGATTCTAAAAGCCCATAGAAGGCTGCTAGCAATCGAGGAACAGCGCATGACAAAGTCGCGCCGATTCGTGCGATATCGCTTTGTCGCGCACGCGCATAAAACGACCTTATATCTCGAAAACGAAGTCATGGACATGCCCCTTTTTATTACATTTTTAGATTCCTCATCTCAATTAATGGAAAGTGTCAAAGATTTTGAGAACGAACATAATTCTGTAAGCCATATAGAAGAGGCTTCGCTAACGCTCCACCTCAATTATCACATAAAGGAGTTATTCTCGCATTTTTATTTAAATAAGTCATATGAAGTCCATCACATCCTGTCCATCACTTTTCAAACATTAATAGTTGACCAGTATTAATTAATTAGTAATCGTTGATCATCCTCTCTTCCAGCAGGAAGTCACCAACTACTTTTGGCCGAATTACTTCAACCCCCTTCCGCAAAAGTCGCTTCTTTTTATCGGAACCAGCGCATGGTGGCATTCGATTAGGAAAATTACATAATAGAAGAATACCGGCGAGCACAAAATATTTTTAAAGTGGTTTTCGAGGATGCAGAGTTTAAATATTTGATCAGTTTATCGCTAAATTTGATTCGTTGACAGATTACCGTTTGATATTCGACTGTGAATCGTAGAGTTTCTTAGCGTTAACATAAAAAAAAAAGAAAAAAAATATGATATCTGAAAAAATTTAAGATATATTTTCGATTCCAATCTACTTGATCAATGAAATTGTGCGATTTCGTACCATCCGAGTATTGCGAAAAAAACATGACAATGGTAGGCTGAAATATCCAAACTCTTTTTATGGATATCGTTTTAATGTTTCTTATATTATAGTATTTGATTTATATTTACAAAGGTTATCTTACATAAGAGTTTATCACATCGAATGACCAATCTAACACATTTTTTAAACTTGTTTATTCCTCTACTCTACATAATTTAAAGAATTTTTAAAATATGTTAGATTGGTCACTTGGTATGATAAACCCTTACGCAAGATAACCTTCCTAGCTATAAAATCAAATACTATAATATAATATAATAGAAGGGTTCGAAGTACGAAATAATCTAATAAACTTAGTGTTTGTTGTTATTTTATGTCCAGGCAACGCTGGGCTTACCTGATAGTTGCTTATATATGCACTAACATGATCTAACCAACATTTTATATGTAATTTAACATCACTAGAAAAGCTTGCAGTAATAAAATTAAAAAAAAAAAATAGTATTTTTTATTTAGGACATGATATTATTAACTCTATTCATCTGCAACAGTGTTTGGTATGCCTAAATATCACATAAGAAATTATAAAAGTTAAAATAATTTTTATAAATAATAATTCAAATATTTTTATAATAGCCAAAAGATCTTTTCTCTTCTTAAATTACTACTTTTACATAACTGAGGTAAAGAGCATAAGGATTAATTCGATGTCACTTTAAACTACAAATTAGTGTTAAAACTACAGTAACCAATGAAATTCTATTGACGAATTTTCTGTTGTAGGTGAGTATAAAACAGAATAAAAAGTAAGAAAAAGAATATTGATAGCATTTTCTGACATTATGATGAGGAACCAAATCGAATAGAAAAACTATAAAATAAAATAAAATTGATTCTATATAGAAATCTTAATTCCTTATAAAAACTCAGGCCAATGAACTGATTAATGAGGTAACTTTCAGAACTTTCCTCTAATTAAACTGAAGTATTTCTTTAATTAACGATTTTTTTTCCTTTCATATTTAAGATTTCTGAATAGAATCGATCTAATGAATTCTCAAACTTGTATATAATCCAATCTATTAAGATTAACTTCTACTATCCTTCAAAATAATAATAATATTTACGATGAGATAATGCCATTGAAGAAAACATCAAATCTTAAATAAGTAAATAAATAGAACGAGATTCTAACTACAAAACTTTCGAGTCTCATATCAAACTGAAAATTTTAGCACGTCCTATCTGAAACATAATATTTAAACAATGAAGAACAATATAACACGGATATTCATTTCACTTATTACTTGCCGCCATCTGGTGACTAAAATTAACATTTTTCACCAAATCAAATAAGAATGGGGCTTATTTATTTTCAATATACAGTACTGTACATCAGCTACATTATTAATAAATAGAAGAGAGAAAATGAATATCATGACAGTTTTTTTTATTAGATAATTCCAAGCGAATAAATAAGTACATAAATATTATAAAAATAAATAATAACGTAATGATCATGATACTGTAGTTTTATATTTCTAAACAGAATAAAATTTAGTATATGTACAGTATATTATTTATCTTTTTAATTTGCTATTTCGTAAAATTTCAATATTTTATTTATTGAATATTCTTTTCTATGATTATGTTCTATGAAAACTGTTAATCTCTTCTCACAGAATATCGATTACAACAAAATCTTTTCATGAAAATATTACTTTTTACATTAACTATTTTCTTTCTATAGTAAAAGAAAAGTTATTTCATTTACAGTAAAACCTCGGGTTACGAACGCCCCTGTTTACGAACAAATTTTTGAACGCCATAGTTGCTTCGATTGCTTCGATTCAAATTGCCGAACAAGCTACTGGGCAAGAGCCGTCCACAGACGGTCAACTCCCTATACTTCCTGCGTTAAATAAAATCGACCAATCAACGACAGGACTACCGATTCAGAAGTTGGTGGCGCCAAATCGTCACATGCGACTAGTGTAAACAGGCAGTCGCCTTTTGTTAAGTACTGTACTGTTGCTTTTAGTGTTAATCAATTTTTGTTTTTAAATGTGATTACGAAGAGGGCCATTTCTCCAAACCTAACGTGGGTTCGGTCAGGCCCACTACGGAAGCGGTAGGATGTTGAGGGACAGGACACTGATCATAAAAAATTCCTGAAGATTTGATTGCCAAAATTCTGTGCCGGGTTTCCAGATAGATTTAGCTCAAATTCCATCGGGTATTACTTAATAAGAATATCAAAATACAACGTTTACACCATAATATTAACATAATATCTATCTTTAAAATTTCGCTTAAATAACAGTCTCCTAATTCATTAAATTCTCTTAATTTCAATATTGAAGTTACTCAATTTCATAAACGTGGCCCGTTATTTAGTTGAAAAATATTCTAGAATCGGGAACGTACTTAAAATAAACTTTTTGACAGAAAAATAACGATGTTATAACGTATAGATATATTTATTAGTTAAAATATTGTTTACAGATTCGAACCATGTGTAAGCATATCTTTTACTCGATGCCACGATCCATTGTTGGGAAGTGGTTCGATTCCAAGAACGTGGCAAAATATGTTATAATGGTCTACCATGTGAAGTGGTGGAGATCTTAGATTTTTAAAAGCTGCAAAAATTGCGTGATATTGAACTTTATATAACACAAAATTTATTTTAAGTATTCTTATATAAATATAAAATTTCAAAACTGCTTACCGGGACCGCGAGCCATAAAAATGGCTCTCATGTCGGACATCTTATCGGTGTATTGGTTGCAACCGTGAATTCCAGACAAAAAGAAAGAAGTTATTGTGCCCAACATATAATAAGGTTTCATCTTTTTCTGGTCATTCAACTGATTTATTCAAAAGAAATATATATATTATTTATTATAATATAAAAAATATTCTTACCAAATATACTTTATATTTCAAAACTAAATGACTATTTTTAAAATGTTTTATTACTTTTAATTTTATTACTTTAAAAATGTTAAAATATGTCACTGAATAACTAAAAATAGTAAAATTAAAAATTTGTTTACTGTCTAGGCCAGGGGTGGCCAACAGCTTTTGCCCCTGGCCGGATTGGAAAGTAAACTTTTTCCACGGGCCGAATAGAGGTTGCCCCTATTTTGAGGTGGTGCGAGATCTCATTGTGGTATCACCCCGTAGAGACTGAATTGTAGATAGAGATTACAGATACATTTCTCACATTATCATGCTTTATCAACACTCTACGCTGTACTTAAGAGATTTGTAATGGAGCATTAACTCTAAACACACAGTTGTTGATTTTTTTTCTTTTAGACGTCTGAATTTTTCATCGAGCTATTTTGAAAGATTGATCGCGGGCGACATAAATTCATCAGACGGACCGGATCTGGCCCGCGGGCCGTATGTTGCCCATGCCTGGTCTAAGCTATACAACTTTTTAATTATACAGTATATACGTACTAATACTATATACTAATAAACTATATTAGTACAATTGAAAAGTTCTATATATTGCATAGAATAAAAGTGTAGAATACAGTATTTATTGACAAGACTATGTCTTGTTTATAAAATCGTACTGCCAGCATATAGGTATGAAGGAGTACATGTCAAGAGTTAATATTTGGCACAGGGTATTTATTAGGTGCCCAAATTATTTGCGCATAAAAAATCCAGATTCGTAGGTAGTCAGGAGACCGAGAACCGAGTCAAAATAAAATACAAAATGGCGATCCTCTTCTACAAACAGGCAAAACAGCCACATCACCCCACCGAAATCAGGTAGGGGAAAGTACCACCCACAGTCATTCTAAGAAGTGAACTCTGACCTTAAGACTGAACACGTATTTTCTTTTATGTTAAATAAAACTTGTAATCAAATTTTGTAAATTTGGGAGTGCTTCAAATATGACGTTAAAACGGTTTTATGCCGTTAGTGGAGTTTTTTTTAACATTATCTAGTATAGTAAAATCGTGGGACCGAAAAAATTTGACGTTATATTAGGGTTTTCGTTACATCCGATGACGTTATAATCGGGTTAAACTGTATATTGTTTGTGCAAAATAAAAAATAATTTCGGACGATACAATAGCCACGATTATTTTTTTCAAAAATGGGAAATTTTCGTTACGCATCGACAAAAATTCAACCGGGCCGACACGCAACGGAGAGAAATTTCGAAATTGCATAGGTTAATTTCAACGAAAATGCATCGTGGCCGGCGAAGTTTGAACGATCGCGCCCAAAAGCAGCGATACCAAAGAAGATTGGAGAATGAGAACGAGATCCGCTTTGAGCGTCAAAGTGATTCCGCTTAGTAGTGTCTCCGAGACATAGTCGTGTCCCAAATACGGTTTTGCCGTTTTACTTGTTTAATTTAACCTTTTTGGTTAATATTTAAATAATATAATATTTTACCAGTTTTACCAGTATTATACAGTTGTCCAACAGAAGAGTAATCTATCTTATTTACAAATCTTTTCAAAATAGACA